AGGAGTCATCTTCAAGTTTGATTAATTTAATATTTCCCTTTTTATTTTAAATGCAGTTAACTCATTTCAATTAATACCACGTTCACCTGCAGTGTTTCTCTGGCAAATGTGGAAAAAATTAATTCATATTTCTGCCATTTGTCTAGAACTGCCAGTAATATTAAGTGGCCCTTTTCGCAATCGATCTTTTTTTCTGCTTATAGAATATTTTACAACAGTGTTTGATTTTAGCCTCGTTGATAATTTAAGTGCATCTTTTTGCTCTCCTAATAAATTACCTTCAAATTTTGTAGTTGCTTGGCTCACCGAGCTGGTTCATTGTTTCGCAGACGTTTTGTTACCGTGCTGGGTAACATCATCAGGACAGCCTCTGATGAAGTGCCGTTGTGTCTTCCCGCCTGTTATTTAAACTCTGGAGTCTGTTGAGCTGGATTACCTCACTTCTGGTTTTCCTTCGCAGTGGAGTGTATGTGGGAGGACCACCAATTCGACTGGGACAACACCAAGATCCTGGGACAAGCAAAGCAGAGAAGTACGGGAATTCCTAGAAGCGTGGTACTCCACGAAGAAAGCTATCAACAAACACATAGAGCTTGACCCCATTCCACTGCGAAGGAAAACTGGAAGTGAGGTAATCCAGCTCAACAGACTCCAGCGTTTAAATAACAGGCAGGAAAACACAACGGCGTTTCGTCGGGGCTGCACTGATGACGTTACCCAGCAAGGCAACAAAACGTCTGCAGAACAACAAACCAGCTCGGCGAGCCAACCAACTATAACATCCACAACCCGAGCTACAAATCTACTCTAATGCCTTAGATACCTTCTAATTTCTTGTATTTTCCAATGTCATGATCTCCACTGCTATAAATGTAATCAGTGCATCTAACTTTCATTAAATTCATTTCTTCCCCCTTTTTTTTTCCATCTATCGTACTCATTGATGCTGGGCTTGTTCTCATTTAACAATATACGGTCCAAATATTCTGACAGCCAGATAGTTGTCAGGATCATGTAGAATCTGCAATGCATTTGACTCCATGGGAATTGCTCAGAAAATTGAAGATTCCGATGGGTAACTCCCCTGTACCTGGAAGCCTCCAAAAATGCCCCTTTAAGTCAGAGAATTGAGAGGGCTCAGTTAAGCTTAATTGTTGCCCCAGAGAAATTAGAAATTCAAATTCTAAACTAACTTCTAGGTAACAAAACATCCAGACTCATCATTGACCACCCCTTCCTGCAACTACCTGAACTCCCCCATAACTCCCTGATGAGCTGTGACCCGACTTCCCGCCAGACCAAACCCACCCTCCAATCATAACCGGTTGGATCAAGACACTCAGCCCCGACCATCCCCTCCCCTACTGGTCCACCATCCTTCCCCATCAGCCCTCCAAACCCGACCAAATGTGACCCCCATTCAACATGACCTGCATTTGTCCAACCCTGCAAAGAGTATGATCGATGTGAAGGAAAATTCAGCTAACTAAGACAAGGACTAAATGTGTGAGACTGGAAATATTGGTTCAAAGTAAGAATTCAACTGATTTCTCTTGTCCAAGTTCAGTTTTAGACTTCAAGTCAGATTTGTAAGTTGAAATAGTCGAATTAACAGAGACAGACGTACGATGGTGGCAATTAGCACTTAAGGACCTGAAACCCGTTATCTAAGTGAGGTGCTGATTACTGTAGCTAAAAAGTGACTGAATAGATTCATATAAGGAAAAGATTTTATTGTACAGGTAGTTCTCCTATAACACGATAGTTGCGTCTTGCGTGACCACGTGCCATCGAATATCGCCACAGTAAATCGCATTATAGGGAAATCGCCATTGAAAAATCGCTATATCTGTACAGCAGAAAGTTTGCGTTATCCAAACAGCGTCCACTATTCATCAATTGCATTACAGCCCATTCGCATTAACGAAACATGGGTTATAGCAGAAATACCTGTACTGGTGGAGACTTCACCTGATTGAGGGAAAGGCCAAGCAAGTGAAACTTGAAATCTGGTTCCAGATAGGAGTTTGGTAAGAAGGGGGACAGAGGTGCTTTAACAAAGGTTTATTGCAAGAATTCAACTCACCAGAGCAAGAGATGAGCAGGAAAGGATAAAAAATGCAGGTGATATGGCCTGCCTGCAGTGGAACTAATGATAGTGATTTCATGAACCATGGTGTAATAAAACTGTCCGGAAAAATATTGAGACAACAAGGTGCAGAGCTGGATGAACACAGCAGGCTAAGCAGCATCATAGGAGCAGAAAGGCTGACGTTTCGGGCCTAGACCCTTCATAGCCTGCTGTGTTCATCCAGCTCTGCACCTTATTGTCTCGGATTCTCCAGCATCTGCAGTTCCTACTATCTCGGAAAAATATTGATTTGGTTGCCAGTGTTTTCCAACTATCTTTTCTTAAAATAAAAACTGGTAAGCATAAGTTTGATACTTGAGTGGGGAATGCAGGGAGCACGAGTGAACTGACCACACAACTTGGTACAAGATGCCATTGAAGTGAAGGAGGAATTAGCAAAGTAGAGGTGATACGAAACAATAGAATGAAGGAGATAGATAACTGCTTTCTGTAGCTGTGAATGAGGTCCCAAAGGCTGCGTTGCCGATGTGGTGCCAGAGTTAAGGACATCTCCTCAGGGTGGTAAGGAGCGGGAGGGAAAAGATTGAGGTGTCTCCGTTCAGGTTGGCACAAACAATATTGAAAGGGATAGAAAGGAGTTTCTGCTAAAAGAATTTGAACAGATTGGGGGGGTCCAAATTACAAAAGCGGGACCTTCAAGGTAATAATCTCTGGAATTCAACGTGAGCCACAGGCAAACTGCAAAGAGTAAACAAGATCAAGGCGTTAAGTGTGTGGCTCCAAAATCAGTGTGGATGGACTGGTTTTCAGTTCATCAAGCATTTGTATCCGTACTGGGGTAGAAAGGAGTTGTTCCAGTGGGACAGACGTCACTTGAACCAGGCTAGGAGCAGTGTCCTAGAAAACCTAATAATTAGGGTCGTGGAGAGGGATTAAAGTAATTTCGTGGGGAGATGAGGAGAGCAAGGATGGTGAAATGTGGGCTTACAAAGATATAGCAGCATTACAGGACAGCCTTCTGAATAATGAACAGTATACAAACGTAGAAAGACAGCAGCAAATAGGATAAAAGGGAAAAATATGGTTAAAATGAAAAAAATTAATGGCTCTTTACCTGAATGTACATACTATTTGGAATGAAATGAGATGATGGCACAAATAAAAGGTAAATAAGCATGATCTTATAGCCATTATGGATAAATGGTTACAAGGAGATCAAGCTGGTAATTAAATATTCAGGGATGATTTTTCAAAAGGACAGACAGGAAAGTATAGGATTGCGGAGCAGTTTCATTAGTACAGGATAGAATAAGTAAGACGGCAACAAACAATTTCAGGTTAGATGATGTAGAATGAACAAGGGTGGAGGCAGGAAATAACAAGGGGAAGATGACAGTGGTAGTAGTAGTCTCAAGGCCCCCTAACAACAGGCATATGATAGAGCAGAGAATATGTCAGGAGATAACGCTGGCATGTAAAAAAAGGCAGTACATTTATCATGAGTGACTTTAATTATCTGTAGATTGGTAAAGTCAAATTGGCAGAGATAACCATGAGGACGAATTCATAAAATGTATCCCACACAATTTCCTAGAACATTGGGCTGTGGGTTCAATTATAGATCAGACTATTTTGGATACAGTGAATTTCTGGGCCATTATTCCTGGACTTATTTGTACATGTTTTAAATGTTTCCTATTGTTGTTTTAGATCATTATCTGTCAATACTTTGTCCAATGTATTTTCCCAAGTTCTGTTCAGTTCCAGTCCCAGTCCATTACCATCTGCATCATATTTGCATTGTTCTCAATTGTCTTAAAGCATTATGGTCACCAGTAACTAGATGTTCAAACTTTTAGTTATGTTTATTTGCTCTGGTTCATTTGTGTTGTAGATCTAGTAGCAAATCCCCCTTTTGGGCTACAAATGAATCCTGCATGGTTGGCTTTCAGATCAGTGCAAAGCATCCATCCTTAGCTTGCATATGAAATTCAAAGCACTTTATGTATTTCTGCATTAAACAATGCGTAAATGGGTTAATCAGTTTTAATTGTTCCATTTGCATATTTGCACAAGAATGTTATCTAGTTAAAGCTCACTGTTTCCATACACTGCTTTCCTCTTTGTAGAACTCAGGTGGATATACCTGCACGGGCTTCTACAACCTTCCTCTTCCATTTGTATATTTGATCATTATTTATTACAAAAATTATTCCCCAACTTTGGATGACTCAACAGATTTTAATAAGATTTCATCAATTTTCAAAAATCTGTGCATCTGCCTTACATCTGCTGCAATTCAATCTCACTGTACCATTCCACCATAAAATATACTGGGACACTAGCTTTTAAAGTACTGCTCCTTGGCAGATTCCACTTAAACCTTTAGCATCTGCATTATTTAACAATATTGAAATGCTTGTTTAGTAGCTCTCTCAATACAAAGACATCACGCTCAAGGTAGCAATAGGTTATGTCATGCTAAAGGTAACAGATCAAATTACTTATTAACATATCCTGATAAATCAACAAATAGGCTGATCGAAGCACCCTCACGCTGGCGAGTGCAAAAGAAATGTTAGCCAGATTTCTTTCTTATGACTGCAACCAATGCATATCTTGGGCAAAAACAGGATCAGACTAGTTTTGATGCACACCAAAGTGACAGCAGTAGCCTGAGATTATCAAAAATCAATATAAAAAAGGGACTTCATTTGAATTAGAAATTAAATGACAATATTAATGAAACTATACCAGTATGAGGCAGAGTCTTCTGGAATAGAATTTAGGGAATTAGTTAATTCCCCCCGAAAGGAACAGCTAGAATTTATTTCAAGCCAGTGGCCCAGGCTGTGGCATCAAATGAAGCTTGAAGGAATGATTTAAGACAAAATTTATTAGCACCTACTTCTTAAGGCAGTTAGTCATCAGTAGATGTACATCTTGTCTCTCATCTAGAAGCAGCATAGCTCCAAGATAACCAATTCTCTTGTCTGTGAATCTCTGAGATGCTATTAACTTTAAACATTCAAGCTGTGCAAAAATAAGACAAAAACAGAAAAATCAAACTGTAAATTTCAAAATACAGCTGTACCAAATCAGTGGAGTTCTCTCAGTTAAAGAATAACATTGATAATAGTGTGTATTTCTAATTCAATAATATAAAGAGGCAGACACATGAACATTAGTGAACTTAAGAAACACTTGAAACATCAACAAAACAGTTTAGTTGAGAGTAGTCTACTTCTCCCTCCACTACACAATTCTCACTTGCTACTCTTACAACATATCTCTTCTAGATTCAAATAGTCCACATTAATATTTTTTGCTTTGGTGCAGTTTCCATTTTCTCAAAAAGCCACCTTCAGATGCATTGTCTACATTGAAGGTGGTGTTTAAGTCCAACGGTTGGCATTCACTTCAGGAAAGCAAAATAGAGGATGTTTTTTAAAGAAGTCTATAAAGTTATTCATAGTCTTGGGTCAAACAAGGTTTTAATTGTGCCCATTTTGTGTTATTTCACCTGGAGTGATGAACTGTGTTATTCATTTTCAAAGCAGCTCTTTAAGAATCATTATGATTTCAATAACAGATAAACTGTGCAGGGCATTTGATTTGCTACCAAATGGACTGAAAACTTCTGCTATTGCCATGGTCAGGCTTATCACTGAGCGGCTTTATTTTGTTGTTTGCGTCCACTCCTGGCCTTGGTGGGGGGGGTATAACATACCAAGGTGTTTATTCATAGTGTGTTGCCAAATTGTTCGTCAATATGGCCAAGCTCCTGCATTGGTAGCGCGCAAAGCGTGACCATGCCATAATCAATAAGGTATTTCACCTAAGTGGAAAATGTAAAACAATGTAGAAACACTCAGAATTTAAACTCCATCACTTCCTTGACAATCTGCTTGTCAGGCAAAAGGGAAAGACTACTGTCAAAATAACTTGCATCGTGACAGAAGCTGACCACTGGATAGACCAGTGCTTAATCTACAACAAGCTGAGTTTAAAGATTCAGACAATACTTCGTGAATCAACTTCTAAGGCATGACCAAAGCTAGATGTCAAATTTCTCAATAATTCTACTTTTGCCTCTAACTTCACAACTCCACAGTTCGTGCTTCCTCCTTCAAGTAATGAAGATCAAAACTTCAGTATACATCCTGGGGCACCAGAAACACAGGCACCAAGATGTTATAAATAAATGATGAAGACATACATTATCCTTTCAAACTGAAAGTTAGTACATATAAGTCTTACAGCATGCCCACGAATCAAAAGCCGAGCACATAGCCTATGAAAGTGATAAAGACAAGCTCCAGCGTGCTGCAAGAGAAATGCAGAACGACTCATAGAATGAAATAAAAACAAACCGCTGGAGAAACCCAGTAGGTCTGGCAGAATCAGTGGAGATAAAAACAGAGTTAATGTTTCTAGTCTAATATGTATCTTCTTTAGAACTGAAGGCAGGTGGATAAGTGATGGGCTTTATGTTGTAGAAAATCGTGGGAGAACATAGAACATAACAGCACAGTACAGGCCCTTCGGCCCTCGATGTTGCGCCGACCTGTGAAACCAATCTGAAGCCCATCTAACCTAAACTATTCCATTATCATCCATATGTTTATCCAATGACCATTTAAATGCCCTTAAAGTGGGCGAGTCTACTACTTTTGCAGGCAGGGCATTCCACGCCCTTACTACTCGGAGTAAAGAACCTACCTCTGACATCTGTCCTATATCTCATCCCTCAATTTAAAGCTATGTCCCCTCGTGCTAGCCATTGCCATCCGAGGAAAAAGGCTCCCACTGTCCACCCTATCTAATCCTCTGATCATCTTGTATGTCTCTATTAAGTCACCTCTTAAACAGCCTCAAGTCCCTCAGCCTTTCCTCATAAGACCTTCCCTCCATACCAGGCAACATCCTGGTAAATCTCCTCTGCACCCTTTCCAATGCTGCCACATCCTTCCTATAATGCGGTGACCAGAACTGTACGTAATACTCCAAGTGCGGCTGCACCAGAGTTTTGTACAGCTGCAACATGACCTCATGGCTCCGAAACTCAATCCCTCTACCAATAAAACCTAACGTACTGTACGCCTTCTTAACAACGCTATCAACCTGGGTGGCAACTTTCAGTGATCTATGCACATGGACACAGAGATCTCTCTGCTCATCCACACTACCAAGAATCTTACCATTAGCCCAGTACTCTGTATTCCAAAATACAGCAAGTGCAACAGAAGGGAAGGTCAGGTTGGAAAACAAGGGAGATTAGAGATTGCAGGTGCCACAGAACAGTGAAAGACAAGAAATTATGAGCTACAGTATTTCCTAGGAGGCACTGTGCGTATTTTACAATGTGTTGAAGATGGTACATGATCTCCACAACCTTTGCTCCTATACTAACAATTGATGGAAGCGAACTAATCATCAATAAGGCATGTATAATGAAAAGGTGGCTCGAGCACTTTGCCAGGGTTAAAGACCTACACAACTTTGCAGGTTCTCTGCATTAAATTGAACAGTTGCTTGAAAAATAAAGCCCATCTCTTCTTCCTTCTGTGAAGAGGCACTAAAAGCGATCAAATCAACTAAAAAGGCCAATCCTCCGTGGCATTCCAGCAGAGATTTGCAAGTGTAATGGTACAGAGCTTATGAACAAACTTAGAACTGCTTCCAGCGTGTATGGGATCAGGAACATGTTCTTCAGGATCTCAAGAATGCCAATGTCAGAATCTGGAGGAGAAAAACGTATACAGCATCTACCAGGAATAGGCCTTCTCTCAATCACAGGAGATATCCTTACAAAGGTCCTATTTAACCAGACTACTGGTTGTCACTGCCCTCCTAGAATTCTACTGCAATTTAGGATTAAATGTAGGACAGCCAATTTGGTATTTTCAACAATACAACTACAAAGAAAAATGCAAGAGATCAACTTCAGGATCTATATATGCCGCTTAATGAACTGAAGTGATTGACAGTAAGAATCGATTCCAATGCATTGTTTGGACATCTTAGCTTGGACAAAGAGTCTGTTAAAACCTTGTGCCTGCAGCTGTGGTGAAATACCTGATGGTTTAACAATATCCAGTGGCATAAATTAAGGATGCAAACTCTTCGAGGTAACACTTAAGAAAATCACCAGAGAGCTACCTTTAGACAAAATTAGGGTTCATTCAGGGCAGCTCTGCAATCTATCCAGACTGTATGCCTTGAAAGTCACAGAAAAAGCAGAGAACTTCCATATTCTGCAAAGACAACTATGGCAAACAAATTCAAGTGCTGCCAAAAACACTGGTCTCCAAATCTGTGTCCCCAACACTCAGAGTATGTTTCAGCTACGGCCAGACATAACAGTTGATCAACACAGTAGAAAACATCTCATGCCTTGGTAATATGCTCCCTAAGGATGTCACTACTGATGAAGATATCACTATGTGCTTCCACAAAACAATTGATCCTACAGCTGATTGTCTGGAAGCAGCATGGAATTAAGGGAAAGATGAAAAGTCAAATGTCAAGGTGTTCTTACCACTTGCTATATGGTTCAGAATCCTGGGTCTGTTTCAGCACCACATCAAACCTGCATCAACCAAGACACTAAGGCCATTGACAACAATTTAACAGCAAGACAAAATTGTTAACTACAAGGTCCTTCATTGCGCTGGCCTCAACAGCGTGGAGACGATTATCCTAATTAATGGACTATGGGCAGATCACTTCGCCTGCAGGGATGATTACAGAATCCTCAAGCAGATCTATATGGGAAGCTCTCTCAGGATAAACATCCAGATGGTCTGTACAAAATGGGTGGCATGGTGGCTCAGTGGTTAGCACCGCTGCCTCAGCACCAGGGACCCAGGTTCAATTCCAGCCTTGTCTGTGTGGAGTTTGCACATTCTCCCTGTGTCTGCATGGGTTTCTTCTGGGTGCTCCGGTTTCCTCCCACAATCCAAAGATGTGCAGGGTAAGTGGATTGGCCATGCTAAATTGCCTAGTGCCCAGGGATGTTTAGGTTAGGTGGGTTAGACATGGGAAATGGTCTGGCTGGGATGCCCTTCGGAGAGGCAGTGTGAATTTGTTGGGCCGAATGGCCTGTAGGGATTTTATGATACTAAAAATGTAACGGCACTTTAAAAAAAGGCTCACAAACTTCACCATTTTAGAGAGAGCGCATTTGGGAGAACATTGCAGTTGACAGGCCCACTTAGAGGCAGCACTGATTCAAGGACTGCATGCACTTAATCTGCAACATCTGAGGAGGCCAGCCGCAAGTCAGAGGTGGCACACCTTTAGTATGTTCTCCCAAGCACAACAATAACATGAATTGCCAGTTCTGTGGACATCCATGCTGACCTTGCATCAGACTTTTAAGTCATTAAGAGGACAGAGAAGGCAAGGGATCACTTGCAACTTGGGTATCATTAAACAAGGAGTTTACCACCATCTTAATATAACAAGAGACAAAACTCTGCTTGGAATGGATTGCATCAACGCACATGAAAAGTTAGTTGAGATAGCAGAGACAGTATGTGCGTATATAAATTCATTGGGAAAAAAAAAGTGATACCGATAGTGATCTGGACCAGAGGTAATTTTTATAAATATAGAAAAAGGGCAGGATAAGTCCAACCAGGTTAAGTATAGTGTGACAGTACTATGGCTTTAAGAGGTATATTTTGTCCTTTTCTTTTTAAATGGAGAAAGATGGAGACAGAGGTACCGAGCAGTCTGCTCAAAGCCAATAGAGTAAACAGATTAAGAGGTTTTGGGGATTTTTTTAAAAATAAAAGGTTGGAACAACAGAAGCAGCCTGAATGGGTGGGGTCAAGTTCCCACAGAACCAGGATTTTTAGTTTTAGCTTTCTGCAGATACTGGAGCCTTGAAGCTCGATGTGGAAGCTCTAAATCATCTCTCTGTTACGGCTAAATCTTAGGGTTCTCTTCCAGCAGCTAGAATTGCATGTGAGACAATCCATCAGACAGAATTTGCCTTTGTCAAGGGTTGTTTATAGAGCATTACCGTATTGGAACAGTTAATTATTAGTAGTTAATAAACCCATTATTTTGTTAAGCATTTCAATAGAGTTGGTTAAGCCAATTCTTCTTTTTCCTTTCTATTTTCTCTATTTTTATACTTCAATTAAAAATACAGTGTGTTTTGCTTAAACAGAGTAGTTTGTCCAAATTGTATCTAGAATGCAATGCCTTACACTTACCTTTAAAATAATGATAGCATCAGGGTCGAGGCTATCTTCTTAACATATTTTGAGGGGGCTTGATCTTGTCCAAAACAATAGTTATAGTGTCATAGAGTCATACAGCACGGAAACAGGCACTTTGGTCCAACTCGTCCATGCCGACCAGACATCCCAATCTGATCTAGTTCCATTTGCCAGCATTTTGCCCACACCCCTAAAAACCCTTCCTCTGCATATACTCATCCAGATGCCTTTTAGATGTTGTAATTGTACCAGCCTCCACCACTTCTTCTGACAGCTTGCTCCATACACGCACCACCATCTGCATGAAAAAGTTACTCCTTAGGTCCTTTTTGAAATCTTTCCCCTCTCACCTTAAACCTATGCCTGCTAGTTTTGGACTCCCTACCCTAGGGAAAGACCTTGGCTTTTCACCCTATGTATATCTGTGAACCTTTATACAGTCACCCCTCAGCCTCCAAAGCTCCAGTGAAAAATCCAGCCTCTCCTTATAACTCAAACCCTCCAATCCTGGCAACATCCTTGTAAGTCTTTTCTGCACCATATCAAGTTTGACAATATTCTTCTTATACAGCAGTGACCAGAATTATATGCAGTACTCTAAAAGCAGCTTCACCAATATCCTGTGTAGCTGCAATAGGACATCCCAACTACTACACTCAATGTTCTAACCAATGAAGGCAAGCATGCCAAACACCTTCTTCAGCACCCTGTCTACCTGTGACTCCACTTTCAAGGAATTATGCATGTGCACCCCAAGGTCTATCTGTTTGGCAACATTTCCCCAGAGTCCTACCATTTAATTGTCTCAGTCCTGCCATGGTTTGCCTCACCAAAATGCAACACCTCACATTTATCTAAATTAAACACCATCTGCCACTCCTCGGCCCATTAGCCCATCTCAAGGTCCCATTGTACTCTGAAATAATCTTCTACACGGTCCACTACGTCACCTATCTTGGTGTAAACTAACAAACTCTGCAAACTAACTAACCATACCTCCTATGTTCACATCCAATTCATTTACATAAATGACGAAAATCAATGGACACAGAACCAACCTTGTGGTACACCGCTGGTCACAGGCCTCCATTCAGAAAAGCAACCCTCCACCACCACCTTCTGTCTCTTAGCTTCAAGCCAACTCTGTACCCAATTGGCTAGCTCCCCTGGACGCCATGTGATCTAACCTTACTAACCAGTCTACAAAAGAGTAATCTGGGAGAGAATAGGGCCCCTTAAAGATCAATGTGGTTGGCGGTGTGTGGAACCACAGGAGATGGGTGAGATACTATATGAATATTTTGCGTTAGTATTTACTGTGGAGAAGGATATGAAAGCTAGGGAACTTGGGCAATTAAATGGAGATGTTTTGAAAAGAGCTCATATTATAGAAGTGGTGGTGCTGGAGGTCTTATAATGCAGAAAGGTAGATAAATCCCTGGGACATGATCAGGTGTTTCCCAGAAGCAAGGAAAGAGATCGCTAGGTCCTTTGCTGAGATATCTGCATCATCGACAGCCACGGGTGAAGTGCTGGAAGACTGGAGGTTGGCTAACCCTATCGCAGGTGCCATTATTTAAGAAAGGATGTAGGGAAAACCCAGGGAACTATAGACCAGTGAACCTTATTGCCGGAGGGGATTGAGGGCCGGGATTTACATGCATTTGGAAAGGCAAGGACTGATTAACGATGATCAACATGGCTTTGTGCGTGGGAATTTGTGTTGCACTAAACTGAGTTTTTTGAAGAGGTGACAAAAAACATTGTTGAAGGCAGAGAGATAGACATTGTCTATATGGACTTTAGCAAAGTGTTCACAGTTGCTTTAATACTGCTGATCAGTATCAGAGTTCAATATCAATGTGACAGCATTCAGAAACTGAAAATATAAATAACATTAATTGCTACATATTTCACGTTGTGCTTGACTATTACTTCAAATGGTTTATTTGAAACTAAAGAGTAGACAAGGGCAACTTGATACATGTAATATATTTAAACTTTCAAAATGCCCTTGATAGTGTACAGCACACTATCATTACCATTGTCAAAACATTGTGGAGTCAGAGCACATACAGCAGAATGGCTAGCCAGTTGCCTACTTAAAAGGAAAATAGAGTTTAGGGATTAAGGGCTGTTGAATTGTCAGAAGATGGGTAAATGATGTTCCACAAGAGTCAGTGACGGGACTATCATTTACCCAATGGATTTTGTAATTAAAAGTACAAGGTTAAAATTTGCTGATTTGTTGGTAATATACAATTAGAGATACAGTTATTGGCAAGGCAGATAATGAGGAAATACAAATGGGCACCAAACTTTGAGTTGACATGTAATTGGCAAATGTACATCAATACAGATAAATGTGAAGTGGTGCTTGTTAGAGCGGAGTGTCATAAATACAAGACTGTCACAAAGCAAACAGGGAGTTCAAGAAAAAAATACCTTTAACCTAGTTAGAATGTGGAACTCACTACAACAGGAATCATGAGTGATGGTATAGAACATATTAGTGGAAGCTAGATAAATGTACAAGGGAAAAAGAAATAATGTTGATAGAGTTGGACGAAGTACAATCAGCGAAGGTTTGTGTGGTACATATACATAACTGAACTCATCCATGCTGGTGTTTAAATTATTTCTGTGCTATAAACTGAGAGCGCGAGGTGGTCATTTAGCTCAGGTGGTTGGACAGCTGGTTTGTGATGCAAATTGATGCCAACAGCATGGGCTCAATTCCTAACTGAGGCTATCATGAAGGACACTTCTTGCCCGAGGGATGGTGACTCTCCTGCTAAACCACCACCAGCTGTCTCCCTCTAATGAGACAGCAGTCTTATGTTGCTTTGGGACTATGGCAACTTTACCTTCTACATGCGATGGTACATTTTGGTAGGAATAATAAAGAGCTCACACGCTGATTGGAAAATAGTACAAAACATGGAACAGCAATACGATTCAGCTTACAGACATACAAATCACAAAATGCAATGACACAGGTTAATAAGACCATTACAAAAAGCAAAGCACTGGGATTCTTTTACAAGGGATAGATTTACAAACAGTTACTGATCTTAATGAGGCACCATTCTGCTCCTTACATTTTAAAAAGATACAGACAGAGTTGAGAAGTGCAAATTAGAAAGGATGATACCAAAAATGAAAAGTTATATGAGCAGGAAAGACCAAATGGGATAGAAAATTAGCCCCTTTAAAAAACAAGTGAGGGGTGACCATTTAGAGAACTTTTCAGATCATGCAAATATTGAATAGGTAGATATAGAAGTGATGCTCCCATTTTGGTCACAAATACAAAAGAGTCATTACTAAATATGATAGGGAATTCAGGAGAAACCTTTCTAAACCATGCTTAGAATGCTACCACATTGAACAGCTAAAGCAAACAACAAAGGCATATTTAAGATGAAACTAGATGAACACTGAAAAGGGTTTGGAAAGTCTGCTATTAGGGTTAGATAAAGTGAGGAAGGAAGCTGTGCTGAGCATAAACATTGTATTGATTATTTCACCTGAACAGCCAGTTTGTTTGCTATACACTTTATATTTACAAAGGACTGTTACCAGACATTTTGCAGTTTGAAAATATTCCAAACAAAACTACATCAAGTTGCTCACAGCTAAATGACTAAGCAAGTGAACCAGAAATCCTGCTTGGAGATCTACAGAGAGTGATTCATGCTGAAAATTGCACATGTACGCATATAGATGGAGATTGACCGTGACCAAGCTCCAGCAACCCAACTGGCTCTCAATTAAAAATGTGTAGTCAAGCAAAGTACCAAAGTCAACTGACACTAGCTCTATGCAACAATATGAAGCATTGTCTCCAGTACAAAAGAAGAAAATTAGAGAAACCAAACAAACAAAAAACTTAATTTATATTACTAGTTCACTGACACAGGAATTAGGAGCATCAGTAGGCCATCAGCCCCTCCAGCCTGCTCTGGGGCTGATCAATACTATGTTTTGAATTCTATATTCTGCTCTACCTCTGAAAACATTGGATTTCCTTGACCAATAAGAATCTATTTCCACCTTAAAAACATCCACTGATCCATCTCAACTAGCTTTTGAGACAAAGCGTTCCAAAGTCACACAGCCCCGAGACAAAACATTTCTTTTCACCTCTATTCTATGTTTTAAAATATTGCTCCCTCATTAAAAGAGCATCAACAAAATTGAAGAGTAACTCAAAAAACCCTTAAAATCATAACATACCTGACCAAAGTGTGCTGGATACCCAAGCATATGCATGTAGATAAGTTTTGCCACATTTCGACAACGGTATGTGTTGTCTTCCTCTCGAAAGGACGATCTGATGAGCGCACATTCTTTCTGAATGACTTCTCGTTCTTCCGCTTGCGTCCTGGCAGCACGGATAGTGCGAATCAGCTCTCGCAATCGAACAGGAGCTGGCATCTTGCTGTAAAAATGAAGTTAGCTACCTTAGACATCAGATTAATACATGGAACAAAGAATGGAACTTTGACTTAATAGGTCATCTCAAGGCACTGTTAGTTAAAAGCAAATGATTATAATTTTCAGGAATATCTTACTAATGGCATTCACAAGTATTTGTTACTTTTATAATAGCTAATGCAACACTTTTAAAATGTTTTCATTCTTGATTGCTGTCCAATAAGTCTGCTGATAGTGCGTGTACGTGCAATTGGCCACAGCTGTGATATAATTTATAGCCAGGTAATCATTCAACTTTTAAGATCAACCTGAAGAATATTGGCATGGTTCAAGGTGGCTGCCCATGCCCACAGAAATGTAAACAAGATCCAGCTCCACCAGATGGGAGAGGAGGGTAGAAGAAAGGAAGGTTCCAATGCAAGAACCTAAAACAGGGTTTTTATAAAACTGCAATATCTATTCTCGCGTAACTCAAGCTTCTAATTATTTTGCATAACAAAATAATAACATCTAGACCACTTGGAAAACCTTCAGTGGCAGCGTCAAAAGCATATTTCTATGTTTCACAGGTTGATGGCAGACAGCTATGTTTTATAGTGCGTCAGCAAAACTAGCCAGCTGACTCAACAGCAATATAAACTATGTTTGTTTTTCCATACTAACATAGCCTCTTCCCTTTCAGGATCAATAGATTTCCCCTTCAGTACTCCCCATAAAAGGTTATTCCTAAAATTAAAACAATTTGAAAAAAAAGTTTAAATCTCATTCCGTTCCTCAAGTAAAGTGCAGCCAATACATGATCTAATGAAACATCTGCTTATCAGAAATATTCTATAAAAAGACTTGAAATATTCTCACCATCTGAAATATTATGAATGATGAGGTTAAATCTAAGAATCTTGCCAAACCTGCAATTTCTGATTTTCAGGTTTAAAAGGTATGCCCAATAAAGACTTCTCCACTGTCTCAAAGTAATTTGCCTAACATCTTCTGCCAATCATATTTATTTATGGGAACATATTCTTCGGAAAGCATTCAAAAAAATATTGGCTATCAGCATTCTTGTCTGTTTAAACTGTTAGTGAAATAAAAATCAATTTCCCTGTAATTTTCTTGACAATATTCCTTCTTGCAGTCATTCTCTCCCCATTTTTATAACTGCTGCTAGATCCAAGAAATCTGATCACTCCATGGTAACTCACTCGTGATTACAATGACAACAAGGTATCAGTATGACGGTGAACACAGTCTTAAACATATCTTGAGACATTCACATATGCTGTTTCCAGTGTCTAGATAGAAATCACGAGTAAAAGGTTTTGTTTTTTGCGCAAGACCTGGTCCACTATCCAGCTTGTGACATTGCTACCATTTACAGCTTATTACCTGTACTATAAAATACAAAGATTCAATGTTTATCCCCTGAGTTTTGGGAGCACATGAGCATTTTTGTTTAATTCTAAGTCTCATACTGAAGAGGTCACAGCCACCATCTGGTTGGAACACATTTTCAGGGAACTTAAATCTTAGTATCAAGAAACAAATACAGCAAACCCTGGAACTGCATTAGCCATATTAATATAGTGGCTAGAAGAGCAAACCAGAGGCCAGAAATCCTGCAGCAAGCAACTCACCTCCCGACTCCAAAGCCGGTCTGCCAAGTCAGATATGTGATGGAATACTCCCCACTTGCCTGAAGGAGTGCAGCTCCAATAATGCTCAATAATCTTGACACCACCCAAAGTAGCCCATTTAATTTACAGCACATTCACAAACATCCCCTCCCTCCACCACCAACATACAGTAGCAACAGTTTGTACGAAGATGCATAGAAATTCACTAAAATTCCTGTGACAGCACATTCCAAACCTGCAGCCACTACACAGATAAGATAAGTAGATACATGGGAACGCCACCTCCAAGTACCCCTCTAAAGTTGCACACTGTCCTAACTTGGAAATATATCACCATTCCTTCAGCATTACTAGGTCAAAATTCTGGAACTCCATCTCTAACAATAGTGTTTCTTTGCCAAATGGACTGCAGCAGTTCCGTGTGGTAGCTCACCACCACCTTCTCAAAAGGAATGAGAGATAGGTAATAAGCATTCGTCTAGTCAACGAAGCCCGTATCCCTTAATGAATGAAACAAGACAAAAATTCCTGACCATTTTTTCATTTTAATATAAGTTACTTGAACCTCATCATTGTAGTCAGAGAGGATTCAGTGAGCCCTAGATTTGGTTCTTACCAAGGCAATGCTGATACAAGCTGAACAATTGTCATAACAAGATTGCATCTTGGCTAGGAATTCTAATGCATTGAACAACTATCAGCTAGTTGTTAATTTTTTTAAAAAATTTGATCATGGGACATCAACATCACTGGCAAGGTCAGTAGTTGTCACGCTTCAGCCGATGTTAGTGAGCCACCTTCTTGAACTGCTGGAGTGTGAGTGATGCTCAGAGCGCTGTTAGGGAAGGAGTTCCAGAACTATGACTGTGTAACAAAGTAAAAACGATACAGTTCCAACTCAGGATGGGTGCATGACTTAAAAGAGGAGAACTTGTAGGTTTTATATTCCTGCGTCTGCTCCCTTTGTCCTTCTAAGTGGCAATGGCCCCAGGTTTGGAACATGCTGTATAGGAGTCTTCGTGAGTTGATACTGCACTGGTGCACTCCACTGCCACCATGCCAGTGCTGGAGATAAAGAAGTATTTATTGGGGTGCCAATCAAGTCGGGTGCTTTATACTGCACGGTGTACAGCTTTCAGTAGTGGAGTTTCACTCAACCAGGAAAGTGAAGAGCATTCTAAATACACATTTGGCTTGTGTTCAGCTTGTCAGAGTATTCATACAGCTGATCTACATTTCTGGTCAATGCTAAGCCTTGGACTTTGATGGCAAGGGACTCTGTGATGGCAATGCTATTGAACTTCAAGGAGCGATAATTAGAATCTCTCATTAGACATGGTCACTGTGTAGCATGAATGCTACTTGCCATTTATCAGCCCCAGTCTCAATGGTATCCACCCCATTTTGTTGCCTGCAGACATGAAATGACAGCTGAAAGTGCTGTACAAGTGATGAAATGCTAACAAGCAATACCATTAATTCAGTCAGTAAATTATCATTGCTGAATCTTGTCTGCAAAACCACATCGCATAATAATGTGGTTAGGTAAGCTGAACTGTAGACTGTAAAACAAAACAGATGTGTCAGACCAACTCCCGGTAGCATGATTAATTTAAATTGAATTCAATTACATGAGGCATGGAGTCATGAGGGTGGACAAGAGTGTAACCCAAACCTAATGATGTTAGAATGGTGAAGTACGAGCACCTTGAAAGGTTAAAGGAAAGATAAGATGCTGCATGGAAGCAGCACATCCCAAGTAGTAAAGGAGGGAGACAGACTTCACTGAACAGACCATTGTTCCAAAGTGAACACAACTGCATACCATAACCATCATATTTAGGTACATGTGATAGCCTGAATAAATTTTGTAAACCGTGCGAAAACACACGCATCCAGCATGGGTTGTAGCAAGTCTGAACTAAAAGCCCCTTTTGATCAGTTCTCTCAAATCTAAGTCTGATTGCAACTGACCTAGGTCTTACAATTAAAAGTGAACCAAATTTACAATCTTCAGTGAAAATCCTCAATTTTTACCTTATGCTGAGAGATTGTCATGGATGAAGCAGTTCAAGATCACTGGACCGAGAACACTGTACTGGGAAACTTCTGCAGTAGTGTCTGGAGGCCTAGGATAAATGGTCTCAAACAATCTTCGTTTGTGTATGGTCTAACTTCAATGGGTCGGTTGGCACAACTCTTCCCCCACCACAGTAATCTCCAGTCATATTGCAGATCCTTGGAAGAGGCCAAAACGGATCATCCACCCAGCATGTCTGATTGAAGATGGCTGCAAATGATGACTGAGACCCTCAAGAAATGTGTAGGGGCTTCCTCCAATTACTGTTTAATTGCCCTATCATTTGCAGAAATTTGACCTTGCTAGTTGGCAGTGGGATAATTTAGCCAGGTCTGCTATATGCTGCTTCTGTTGTTTAGCATGCAAGTAGTTCTGCGTTGAAGTTTCATCAAGTCAGCATCTCCTTTTTAGGTTTGCCCAATGTTGCTTCTGACATGTTTGCCCACACACTTCACTAACCACTGGCTAATGATAGTGGTACAGTGATGAATACATCACACCATAAGTTTGAATATTTTGATGGAATACAATTTTGTTGCTGCTGTTATTGACCCACAGCATCTCATGGATGACCAGTTTTGAGCAGCCAAATTTTAAGGGAACATAGGAACAGGAGCAGGCCATTCAGCCCCTCGAGCTTGTTCCACCATTCTATGAGATCATGGCTGATCTGTGGCCTAATTTCATATACCTGCTTTTTGTCCATATCCCCTCATACCTATGCTTAACAAAAATTTGTCTCAGATTTAAAATTAACAACTGATCAGCATCTACTACTGTTTGTGAAAGAGAGTTTCAATCATCTACTACCCTTAGGTGTATAGAAGTGCTGCCTAACACCTCTCCTGAATGGTCTGACCTTATTTCTCATGCTCCCAAATTCTAACATCCCCAACCAGCGAAAATAATTTATATTTATCTACCCTACCCTCTCCTGTTAATACTTTGAAGACTTTGACCAGATCACCTCTTAACCTTCTAAGTTCTCCAGAAAACAAGCCTAATTCATGTAATCACTCCTCAAACTACCCCATGAAGTCCAGGTATTATTCTTGTAAACCTATGTTGTGCTCCCTCAAAGGCCAACATATCCTTCCTAAGACGTGGTGCTCAGATCTGCTCACAGTACTCTGAGTGGGATCTAACCAGGGTTTTGTTGAACGACAGTAAACCTTCTGCTTCCTGGTACTCCAGTTCTCTAGATATAAAGGTCAGCATTCCATTAGCTTTCTTGATTATCTTCTGCACCTGTTTATGATATTTTAAAGATCCACGCATTAAACCTCCAAG